TATATAGTTAGTTAGTTAGTTAGTTAGTAAACTCGTCAAACCTGTGAATCGGGTTATGTACCCGAATGAGTAGTTAGTTAATTAGTTAGTTAGTAAACTTGTCAAGCCTGTGAATCGGGTTATGTACCCGAATGAGATTTTATTTTATTAAATTATTTTTTTAATTATATAATAACAACAATAGATAATTACAAAATCAAACATCAATCTAGTATCAAAAAAAAAATATTAAACTATAATGAATTTTATAAAAGTTTAATAACGTGATTTTTCTTTTAAATTAATTTTTTTAATACATAAGAAAAAAATAGACTATAAAAAAAAGTCAAGCTCAATTTAAAAAAATACTCCATCAAACCCATAAAACGAGAAAGTCATGGAAGGTTTAAGGATCTATAATTTTAGTAGGGGAAGAATAATATAAATATATAACTAAATTAATTAAAGTTCAAAAATTATAAACTTATAATATAACCCATAAAATTCTATTTTTTTATAATTCATAATTATTTAACCAATCATCCCTAATTTAATTGTGTAATCAATTTTTAATTAATTTTATTACTAAAAATATTCTCCTTACTTATGTAATGATTATTGATAAAATTAATGCTAATTTTATAAGTAAAAAAGACGGAAAGATATACCATAACTATCTTGATCTCTACCAAATTTTTTTTCATTGATGCAATGGCCATTGGTAAAATTAATGCTAATTTCTCATGAAAAAAAAAACTACAAGATATGCAACAATCTTATTTCATCAATTTCTCATAAATGTTTTCCAAGTTACATTTAAAATTCAACTATAACTAAACAAGATAATTAAATCCATTCTAATACTCTACAACACATTCTAAATATACATAATTAATAAAAATTTACTTTAGTTTCAAAAGTTCTCATCCTTGGCCTCGTCTATTTTCATCATAGACATCCAATTTTTCTTCAAAAGTTATTTATAACATATTTCATCTTAAGAACATTATATTTTTATAATTTTATTTTTTTTTCAATTTAAAATTTAAGAATTATAATTCAAAATTTTAAAAATTTACATAAATTTTGTTGACATTTATTTAAACTTTGTATAATCAAGTTTATAACATCTTACCTTATAATAATATGAATTTTAAATGTTAATTCGTCAAAATTTTAACCTCCTTCTTTTTTTTCCTCTTAATGTCATAAATTTCCTTTCTACTCCCTTTCTCTCACTCAATTCTTTCCTTGATTATTGAGATAGATTTATTCAATATTTACTACCTTATTTATTTACTTTAAATCTTATTTCTTCTTACTAAAAAAGCTTTCAACTCCTTTTCTCTTCTAATTCTTTTTCAGAACTAGCAAAAAATTTAAAACGAAAGAAGAAGCTGAATTTCCTATTTTTTCCAATTTATTTATAGAAATACCATTAATGAGTTTATATGTTATTTTTTGTCCTTCAAAATCATGATTGTCCACCAATTTTGATGATTAACTTGATTTAAAATATGTTCTAATCTTTTTTGCCCTTAGTTATCTTTTAGTAATTCAAATTATTAAAATATTCACAAATCAATATAAAAAAGGTTGACACGTGCTATGCACGCATCCGTGTATCATCATCCCTCGCGTGAGGTGTATTCTTATAACTAAAATCTATCAACCGCCTTTTCATATGATGCATCAAGTGATGACACAATTATTGGAGTGGCGTATTTGGTCTGATTGGGGGGGGTTCAGTGATGATGGAAGGTTTTCCTGCTCCTTTTCTTTTTCTTTTTCTTTTTTTCATGTGCCTTAGTATTCTTGTCGAGCCTTAAAAAAATAATCATTTGTGTTCTCTAGTTTGTATTTGTTTTAAATTTGATTCTCATTATTTTGATTTTGATTTTTTTTTATTTTAATGCTTCTTGGAGTTTTTTTTTTGTTTCAGTTTTATTCCTTAATATTTTATTTTTTAATCCAATTTGGTCCTTATTATTTTTATTCTCCACATTATTTTTTTCTTATCCTTTAGGATTTAATTTCATTTCATTTTGTTTCAAATTAAGGTCTTTATTTTTTGTTATTGCTATTTGTTTTGTCCTTTTATTCATTTATTTTGTTTTTCAATTAATTCCTAATTATTTTCTTTTAATTTTTAATTTTTTGTAGATTCTAGTCTTTATTGTTTTTATTTTTTCATTTTTCTATGATTGAGAATTTTGCTTCAGCATTTTTTTTTGTGTTTGTCCTCTACAATCATACAATCATGATTCAATTCACCAGTTTTGATGATTAATTCTATTTAATATATGTTTTTTTTCTTTACCACTTAGTTTTTTGTAATATCAAGTTGACCTTGAGGGATTTCTAGTAATTCATCTCTTTTATGTGTTTTGGTATTTGTGTTAAGCCTTTAAAAGATCAAATGTATTGTATAGCTTGTATTTGTTTTAAAGTTGCTTTTTATTTTTTTGATTTCTTGCATTTTAATTTTAATGCTTCTTAAAGTTTTTTTTTTTATTTCAATTTCATTCATCTGTATTTATTTTATTTAATTTTTTTTATCTAATTTGATCATTATTCTTTTAGTTGCTATTTTTTTTTATCATTTGCATTATTTTTTTTGTCCTTTAAAATTTTATTTTATTTTCAATTTTGCTCCTCATTGCTTTATTTTTATTTTATTTTTTATGATTGAGAATTTTTCTTTGTTATTTGTTTGTGTTTTTCTTCTACAATCACGACCCGATCACCAGTTTTGATGATTAACCGGTCTTAAGTTCATTCTTTTTTATTTTGTTTAAAAAGTGATTTTTATTTTTATTGTTATTATTTGACATTGACTTATTGAATATTGAGATTTGTAACTTATTCTACTTTTCTTTTTGTAAGGTTACCCCTGGATCACATCCTAGGCCGCGAATTATTAAAGTTAAGTTGGGTTAACCTTAGTTTTTTTTTGTTTCATAATCTATTTTTTTTTTATAGGACTTTTATGACTTTTTTAAAGTAACACGAGTGTGTGTCATCTAATTTTTATTTTTATTTTTTATAGGACTTTTCTGACTTTTTTAAAGTAACACGAGTGTGTGTGTGTGTGTCTTTGTTAGATTTACTTCTTTTAGATGGATTTTTTTTATTAGATGAAACTATTTTATTTTATCATTAAATATTAAATTGATCTAGTATTACCTCAGTTTTTTTTTGTGATCTTTGTTATTTCTTACTATTTTAAAAAGAATTTTTTATGATTAAATTAATTTATTTTACCCTTCATCATTGAATTTTTTTTATATTTAGCTTTTCAATTAAGTCTAGGTTTGGAATTTAATGGTTTATGGCTTTGAAAAACTAGCCAAAATTTAGAAGATTTACTCAGTTTTACTTTGTTTTTATCCTTTTTTCTTAGCTTATTTTTTCTAGTTTCATACTTGAATATCTTCTTACCTTTTTTTTTGTGAGATTTTCCATTCATTTTGAAAAGAAAAAAAAGTGTTATCAAGAGTTTTTTTTTAGAGCATTGTCCAATATAGTTTTTTTATGAGAATTTTTTGTTTTTAAATTAAATATAAGCATCAAATATTTTTTGTGCTTTGTTTTAATTGCTTTTAAAACCAAGCCCGCGCTAGCCTTGCGGCCTTTGGATCACAGGTCAACCCTTTGGATTGGACATTTTAAACATCAAATGATATATTTTAATTTTATTTATTTTTTAATTTTTTTGTTCAAATTTAAACCTTACTCACTTGATTTTGATTTTTGGTTTTGATTCTTTTATAAATTTTTCACCTTAGACATTTTTTATTTTACCTTTCAATTCAATATTTAATGATATTTAAGATTTTGACCATCAATATTTTAATTTTTAATTTTTATTCTTAGTTATTTTATTAAATTTATTTTATTTTTAATTTCATCAATCAAATTATTTTTTTCAACTCAACTTCATCACCGGAATTTACTAGTATTTTGTTCGTTTATTAACAGATTTTCTTATTTTATCTTTCACCGTTTGCAAGCCTCTGTTTCAGTTCAAAAGCAGCAGACCAGCAGAGATTGAACTCAATAGCAAAACAGAACCCCAATTCATCCATCAGACCACACAAAGAGTCTGCTCTGAAGGTCAGATATCACCGCTAACCACTATCAACTACTATAAACAAGGCAACGGACCAAACTAGATAGCAAGAAAGGGAAAGAACTCCCAGGAAAGGGGCAGCGAGAACAGACAGGGATTTTGCACAAGCAATCTGCATCTCTTATTTGAGATGAGATGACACTTCAAGCCACGACTCTTCAAACAACACAATTTGATTACAAAAATGGTATCAATCAGCTGGTCAGAATTGATGACGCCTGCTGGGAAGAAAAAGAAAAGCACTAATGTTATACAATCACTTCTTTGGTGTGAACATCCTAATTGAACTATCATTAAGTCAGCTCGACGGTTAGAAGCTTGGAGGGGCAGATGATTGAAGGTTTAACTTTTGGGGAAGACCAGATGCATGCTTAAGAGACTTTTGTCTTTCCCCGCTAGATCGAGGATGCAACTTCTCTGAGCGGGGATGAGTTCCATCCAACTCTTGTTCCGGCTTCCTCTTTACCTTCTTTGGCAAAGCACCATCAACTCCCATCTTTGCACCATCCATGGAATTGCTTGAACTTCCTTTTGGCTTCTCTTGTTTTAGCTTGTCCAATTCAAGACCGTTTGCTGAAGGACTAGGAAACTGAGCAGCTGCTGCTATGGAATTGGGAGCCGGCTTGCGAGCTAAGGCCAAAACAGGACCAACCATATCAGTGGCCAACCTTTCTTGCACATGTGGCTGAGCAACTGTACCAGACTCAATTCTAACACCCTCCTCTTGTTTAGGAGTCAACATCTTTTTACTCTTTATTTTATCTTGATCCTAAAAATAACAAATAAAAGGGGGGCGGGGGATCACCATCAGCATCCCCAGAAAAAAAAGGCAGAAGATGCACGGGATTTCAGAGAAAGGGCCAACAGAATTGGAGGTACCAAAAGACGATGAAAAAAAACTCCTTCCAATAATAAGAAGCAAAGGTCCTTGAAATGATAAAACAGTGCGCATCACCAATTCCAATATCTAAAATCTACAAACCACAGTAGATGTAACGCTCCACTGATACAGAAACCTTCACTCCTGTTCTATCCCAACTATACTTAATGACAAAAAAAAAAAAAAACCCTGGTGTGAGTCTACATATAGCCAATTTTAGTCAATTTAGATTGCTTTTTGGAACCCTGAAATGCCAATCACTTCATTAATCACAGCTCACCATTGCATAATCTATTGACATGTGATTAGAATTGTGAATTAAGTCTTATCAATCAAGACATCGTTACAGCTCTATGAATAAAATAAAATAAAAAAAGCATCCAGGAAATGGTAACTTTCATGTTTCAAAATTTCAAATATGAGATGAGGGATCGAGTGGAGGGGTAGATATGAGGGACTTGCATACCTTATTTCTAATGTGCATAACCCTCCGTCTCTCTTTTGCCCTACATATTGCACGCTTGATCCCATGGTTGTCCATAAGACCACTTGGCCACAACTGAGCAAGCTGAATCACAGATGGGAATAGACTGTGAAAAGCATATCAGAGAAAAACAAAGTAGATTTTAATTAGCGTTCACATACAGAAATATCAGCACAAGACACACGTTGCCAGAAGGACAGAAGTTCAAGAACTAGGTGATATCAGAGCTTTAAGGAGCATATGACTTGAAGAAAATCAATACAGACTGGTCCAACCATTCAGTTTAAAAAGAAAAAAAGAACCATGAAAGCTAGTATCAACAACCTGTTAGCAAAACTTCAGAAAAGAGTGAGGAAGGAGTTGCTCCATTTCATTTAAAAATACATTTGACAGATGAAAGCATAAAGAAACATGTACAGGGAAAAGAAAGCACAACCTCCACGTATAACTTTCTGACTTGTTGACCTGAATCTTCATCCAATCCCTAGAATCATCAAAAGTCAGAGCAAAACATGAGATAGATAGAGAAAAAGATTTCCACAAAATCAAAACATGGCATTCTGAGCACGTATATACCTCAACAAAAAGGTCATAGAGATCACAAATTTTATCCTCCAACACAGCATCCATGCTAAATTTCTTTTTCAGCCCCCCTCTTTCATCAGATACCATTTCTTGAAAATCATCAGACGCTCCAGCTTGTTGAACTAATGCCTGAGAAATCACTGGATCAATTATACTGTATTTAAAAAGTAATAAGAGTATTTGCATGCAAAAGTCAACGAGCTTTCATACTTCCATCAATATGATGCTGTCAAGATAATAAAAACTAATAATCAAATATATCAAGATTTTCAGATGCCAAAGCACTACTATGGAATTGATATATGATAAGAGAACCACTAATCATCATTTAATATGGTCCAAACCCAAAAAATATAAAGAATGATGATTCATATATAAAACAACAAAGATGGGTGTGGAAATATGAAAAAAAAATAAAAACATAGATCCAAATGCCAAGAATAGAAAAAATGACCCTAAATCATATTTGAAAAGTATTTAGTGCACTTGTGTCATCAGAATAAAGGCTTTGTAAAGTAGCCTATTCCAAATGGAAGCTTTGTATATATGCAGGAGGAGGGAGGGGGGGGGGGGGGGGGGGGGGGGGGGGGGGGGGGGGGGGGGGGGGGGGGGGTCCTAAGAAAACTACTTATTCAACTCGGTCCAGTTTCATCTACCATTGACTTCTAGGTAATAATAATCTCCAGCAAAAAGAGCATTGTACCTAAATGCCCTACGTGACACTTCTGAATGCCAGTCTGAGTGTGTGAGAGATAGAGATAGGGATACAGAGATGTATCAACATACATTAGACTCCACAGAGGGGATGCGTGTCATAATCATCTCAGCAACCTCCTTCTTTATCTGTTGAAACCTGTCATCTTTCTCCTGCTTTGCTGACAAACCTGTGTTAATCATTATTTTCAAGTTCCTCTGCAGCAAAAAAAAACCAACTGCATCATGTTGTGCTCAACAAATTACTACCATGTTACCTGGAAACATTGTTTTAGGCCAAGGTGCATGTTGTGCTCAACAAATTACTGCCATGTTATCTGGCAACATTGTTTTAGGCCAAGGTGCATAAAGACAGCAACAATAACACAGACTTCATTCTCATTCACCCTAGCAATTACTGCCATGTTATCATTTAGTCTATCATAATGCTATCACAGTAACATAGAGAGCTTGATTGGCCATAGAAACTCTTCCAGTGGCCAATAGATTAGGTGATGTGACTCAAGAACCAAAACAATCAACTAGTTAAGCCTGTGTTTTGGTGGTCTTTCATATCAAGGCGTCTTGTTCTTGATTGTGTGATTTGATCATTCCATCTGTAAATAAACTTCCTTTCATCTAAAAAACAGAAAATTGTTCATTATATTCAATAGTATTAAAATGAAATGTTGTGGTGACTTAAAATTGATTTTCCAGATTCAGTTCTTCAGTACTTTCAAAACAAAAGGAGAGTGAGAGGATTTGAAGCACCTAATAGCCAACTTAATCCTATGTCCACAAGGAGCAGCAACCACAACCATCTCCCATCAACTAGTTGGAGATATCACAGATGAGAATTGTGGTTGCAATCAGGAGAGGGAGAGCAATGCAGCCGTAATTAAGAATCAAGTCTTCAGTTTCTACAAGAAGATACCTTCAGTGTTCTAAGCTGAATTAAGTGACCAAGAATACTCATGAGACGATTGAGTAACTCTTTTGACAATTTTCCCTGGCTTGCCTGTTGCAACCATTGGAAAGCAAACATTTTATTTTTCTTTCCAGCCTTCATGTACAACTATCAAAAACAATTAACAGAAAAGGAGATGAATAGGTTTAAAAATGTTAAGAATTCTAGTACCGCTAGTCTGGCAACTTTGGCAAGCTTCAGCTTTATTTCTGTAGGTAATCTTCTTTTAATTGCCTGGGCTGAGGCATCAGTCTCTTGATTTTCCACAGCAGGCGGTCTTGCTGTAATTTTTACACACAAAAAGGTTTCAATCTGAAAGGAATTTCCCCATATTGTAATAATTGGGAATGGATACGTGACAAGTATTTCAAGCTTACATTCTGCAACCATCTTCTCTAACTCCCTGATAGCCTTTTCTAGCATCGAACTTTTAGGCCTGACACTAGAACCATCCTTTCTGTGGACATGTGAAGTTCTCTGAATGGTGTTACATTCAAAATCAAGTCAATAACATTAAAACATTATCAAACCACCACACAAAATGCTGTAGTTTCTGTGATGAGCAAGAAATGCAGTACATGACAAAAGCCTTGAACTACAATCTCCCTGGAATAAGAAACCATGTCAGCATACTGTGAAACTGAATGGTTCTGAAATAATTTGCACATGCATGAAAGCAAGTGATAGAGACTATTTTCCAACACCATCTTCTACTCTAAGAAAAAAATAAAAAATAAAATTATTCTAAAAACTTCTGCCTCAAACTCATGCAACGCAGTTTATTGCACTAATGTCGATTCAAAGTTGCATCTGTCTGTAGATGTCTGATGCTGTGAAGTGGATTCAAAGATAGAACATCAGGATCCTCATTTCCAGATTTGCAGAGTTGTAATGTATGGAAATCCATATCCATCTTTAAAATAGTGCTAAATGCTAATGTCAATATCACTTTCTTTGGCAAAAATATCTCAATGCAAAAGAAATTATAAGAGAAAAATATGCAAACTCACTGCTGCTTGTGTGTAAATCTTGCTGTCAGAAATATTAAGATTGAGATCAGGAAGTTCACGGACCCCATTCTTTTCTTTTAATCTAACTGATGGTTCAAGATCATCACCATGGTTTACAGTTTTTGCTGATTGTGACTTGGGTTGCACATAAGCACTTTTTTCTTGATATTTCTGATTTGAAGATTCAGAGAATCCACTTGCATTTTTAGGTTTGCTAGTGAGGTTTTTTGGTGGGAGGCACCCGGTCTTTGGCTTTTCAATATCCTTTGTTTCTTCCAGAGATGCATAAGCATCGCCATTCAAAACTTTCACTGATAAAGATGGATCCAACTTCATTTTTGTTTCAGCAGGTTTCTTTTTGGAAGAAATTCCAGGTGAATTTGATTGATTCTGGAACTTCACATTCTCATACTGCTCACTTATCATAGTCAAATTCTGAGAAATGTTCAAAGAGTTCTTTCCAGGAGGCAGTGCCATCTTCTCCGCAGCTGATTTTCCCAGCTTCACAAGTTTATTTGACATATGACCATCATCAGAATCATTAGGTGCCTTCAATAAATCTTTTCTTCTCCTTTTCTTTGGTTTCTCGTTAGGCACAACAGGAGGTTCATTTCTTGCAAAAAGGAAATAATAGAACTGAGAAAGGAGAAAAGCAAGGGGTTCTTGATACATAAATAAGGAAAATACATAAACATGAGTTCTCCCTTGATATAAATTACAAAGAAAGCATTTTACACCAAATCCACAAGATGAAGTTTCAAAGGAGTCAGCATTGCCAAGGTATTGCTTAGCTTAAGTTCCATATGATAACACATGGTTAATGATCATTTTGAAGATGACAGCTGTCAGTGACAGGATTAACTGTATAATTCTTATTCTATCATCAAAGTCGCTCAACAAGCAAACATCTTGAAAGGCTGAAAATCTTTTGAATGTGGAAGTTGTATGCACCAGCAATGCTTATTTAAACTGTACAATTCCACTGTAATCACTACAATACACCTAATTTGGATATGGAGCATCTTGAATGAAGCACAATCTAAAGTCAGTTTGACAGTAGACCAGACTTTGTGCTAAGAACATCTAAAACATTCCTGACATATTGAAGCTGAAGGATCTTCATATTCTCTTCATGGAGTCAGCAATCTTGCATGTAAGATGGTGTGAGAATTCTTCATCACACAAGTTACAAGCATAAAAAGGATTTTTCCAGATCAAACTCCAATTCAATTATGCTCCAGACCAATCCACCTCTATATCCTTCAATGCTATTTAATACCTACTAACCAGTTAGGTCAACACCGAGTAATTGAAAGAAGAGAAAGGGAGCTCCTTCTAAAAAATGCAACTATACTGTCTATATTCTACAAGTGTTGCAAGGAGTCTACGGTCCCAATGTTCAACTTAATGCTATCTCCTGCAATAATTCAGTTGAAAAGGATCCAGTTGCAATAAGATTTTTCTCAACCCTTAAAGAACAGTTTGGTGGTATTGTGGGAAAGCAAATACTAGCCAACAGATAATAAGCAGAGAGAGCTGCTGTTCAATAAAGCAATTCGTGGTCATTGTAGTGCAAGCTATGAAAAGGTTATGAGGTAACTCACATGCGTTCCAGCTCCCCCCTGTTAACAAAGAAGCCATCATGTTTGATTGCTGAATTATCAACTTCAAAGTATTCATCCTGCAGAAGGAATATTTTAACGAACGATGTAAACCTCTTCATACTTAAAAAAGCCCTTTGCACAATGATAGTACTAGAAGTCACAGCCTCGCAGAAATCGAAAAAGGGTTGGTGAACGTCAACTACAGTTAAAGATACCAACCAGCTCAGCATCATCAATAAAAGAATCTTCTGTATCATACTGATCATCATCTGGAGCATCCATTAGATCCTCCTCGTCGCTACTATCCTTACCCTGTAAAGGATTCAAGTCATGTTAAAAAATGAAATGCCAATTACATCTGCCTATATTCTCGTGCACATCATTGAGGACTTTGCACCTTGAACTACAAGCAAAAAGGCAATAACATGCATGGACCAAAGTATAGCATACTGTGTAAAGACGCTCAATCTTCTCGATTACAGCACTGAAACGATTCGGAGGGGGGTCATCCTTCACTTCATTCTCAATCACTTGTGGCTAGACAAAAATTAGCAACATCAGTAAATAACTAATTCCAGCTACCAGTCACCGGTTAATTATAATTTATCCAAATACATTACAAATTTAAATAGTAATTAAGACGAATAAACACACATATGCAGTGACATGTGCATGTATAATTTCATGCGATTACGTAGTGGAGATAGGAGGGGGCTTACTGGGGCAATTCGAGACTCGAGGTTAGGGTGGGCGTTAACGGGAGGAGGGTCTGGTGCGGCGGGTGCGGATCTACTGTTGACCTTATTGGCGTCTTTCATAAGCTTTTTCCAAGACACAAATGTCGTCTCTCCGGGTCGGAGCTCCACGGTGAATATTTGCCTGTCTCCTAATTTTACATACGACGGCGTTACCCTTGACGAGGACGATTCTCCCCCGCCTTCACCACCGCCACGACTGCTCCCTTCATCCATCGAGACAGTGCAAGGTCTGGTCAGAATTCTAGGGTATGGGATTTGAGTGAGGATTGGATAATTCAAGACTCGAGAGACATGGAAGAGGAAGAGGATTGAGGAAAGAAACCCTAGGAGTGAATTTTTGTTTTTTTGAGAGAGAGGGGGGGGGAGGAATAGTTGGGCGGGATGATGCGAAAACGGTTCTGGGGGGTTTAACTGAAGAGTGAAATATTTTCTGTTTCGGCAATTTTCTTGCGTTTTTCTTTCCCGAGCAAATTCGAGGGAGGGAAAGGGCGGTTCATAACCCGTTTTGATAAGTTTTGCCCGACCGGGTTATGGTATGGGGTCGGATATTGGGCTTCAACTGATGAAAGTCCAGTGCTATTGGTCTTGAAAGCGGGCCTCTGATAAACTAAAGTACGGGGCAGTTTGGAATTCCGTTTCACAAATAGTGTTTCTGGATATTTAATTTTTTTTATTTAAAATTAACTTTTTGTATTATTTAAAATTATTTTTATACACTGGTATTAAAAATAATTTTAAAAAATAAAAATGTATATATTATATTAATATATTTAAAATAAAAAATATTTTAAAAAATAGTAGCTACAACACTTGCAAATATCCTTTTTATATCAAAACAAAACCAGAAATTTATGTTTATGTAAATTGTTCAATTTTACTGTTGGGTTTTGAATTAAGTTGTGTGATTTTGTCTAATTTCACCTTAAGATTGCACTTGGTACGAAGTTAAAATGTGGGGAATTATTAGAAGACGAACTACGTTTCTTGTACACGCTATGCTATGTTACGAGGTAACAAAAAAAAATTAAACATAAAAAAATATATGGTTTCTGGAAAAAATTTTGATATTATTGTTAAACCTAAACATATAATCATTTTAAAATTTATTTTTATTACGATAAATTTTCATTGTAAAACAAGACTAGTATATATATTCAATAAAATAAATTAATAATTGTTTATGTCAATAAATGTTGATAAATTTGTTAATCTAAACCAGATATTAAGTCAATAAACTAAGATAAAAATACATATTGAGACATATAATCTCATATCTTCTAACTTAATTATTTTATCTAGTTATGGAACAATAGGTTTTTTAAAAATATAAGTGATTTTAAATCACAAAACATGTAATTCTTAAATCTAAAATTAATTTTCTTATCGACATATTTTTTATTTATCTAAGTGAATACAAAGTTATAAACTAAAATCATTGTTTGTGTTAAAAATATAAATTTTATAATCATTAAATCAAGTTAAAAAAATAAAATATTATGTTTGTAATTTATATATGGTTTTAAGCTTAAAAAAATATTAAAATGTTATGTTTGTAATTTATATATGGTTTTAAGCTAGAAAAATCATTAATGTGTTGATATTATTTTCAAGTCTATTTAAAAACTCCAAAACATCTTAACCACCACCACCATGTATATAAAACAAATATATCGTTTATTGTTTCAGTAGAGTCATGTTATACTTATAAATACTCTTTTTACTTCATTTATCACCATATATCCCCGCCTCTAAAATTCTTTATATATTTGTATAATTTTTGTATTTTTGAACAACAATCATATTTTCACCATTTTCAATCTCGTTACTTCCAAGCAGCTCAATCAATCAATCCTGTAATTCTTTCATAACCCTCATACTATAAACCTTTATCTAGTCATCACTCATTTTCTCATGACAATCACAGTTCGAACAGTTTTTATTCCTATAATTCTTTGAGTTTGACTTAAAAGTCATTGGTTGATTTATAATAATTCAAAAATCACTAAAAAATGATTTATCATAATTAGATTCAAATTCACCATGATAATGATAATGCTTATTTTCACTGTCAATCATAACCCTGTGGTCCTTAATCAATCTAAACGAGAATAGGGATTCCTTTCACTTCATCCTTAGTTTGTCAATCATCATATAAAACTATAAAATCAAGTGAGGGTTTATGGAAATGGTGATCAAATATGAATAAATGACATTACAATTAACGATCACCATTGAATTGATGAGAAACCCAAGGTAATTTAAATTGTAACGATCACCGTTGAATTGATGAGAAACCCAAGGTAATTTAGTGAAGTAAGGACAATTATGGTGCGATTATTGGTACGGGTGGTTATCATGAATTTAGGGATGGTTGGGACCAGGGTTATAGGATAATCTAAGGAACGATGCTAATGGAGGAGATGTTTATGGGTTGATTTTATCGAGAAAAGTTAAGATTCTTTTTTTATTTTGCTGTGTACAACTTATAATTTGTGATATTGAAGTTTCAAATAAAATAGTATAAGATTTTTCGTTTACCATAGTTACCTTACACATTACATATGATAGTAATTTTATTATTTAAAAAAAATTTATCTTATCAAAGATGTAAAATTTAATTTATCAAAGTACATAAGAAAAGTAAAAAATATGATTAAACTATGTGACTCTTTTTTTTGTAATCACCTTTTTTCATATTAGATATATAATAATAAAAATATAATAATCAAGGCTCAAATATGAATTTATAATATTAATCAGAAATTATATAAAAGTTGAAGAGTTAGTTAATTAGCATGACAATTGTATTTGTAGTGCTAATAAAACAAAAGTAAATGCACGTAAAAAGGACATGCTCAGTGCGTTGCCCGCAATAGCAAGTCCACGCATTTGGCTTTATTGTTTTTATTAAGAGGGGTCATCCAAACCTTTTTTTTATTGAAAAAATAAAAATAAAGTGAATGACATGTTATTTGTTGAAGTATATGACACCTTATTCACTTGCCTAGTTTCCAACAACTTAAGTGGTAAAATACAGGGCATAAACTCTCTTTTAGTCTATTAGACCAAATAACTTATTTTTCAATCAATTTTGGACATGAAAACACATGAAAAACAATATACACAACTCAATAATCTTGTAAATGCCTTTAAAGTTGTAAAAAAATTGGCAAATGTAAAATCAACTTGAGATCTTATAATTTTCTAAGCCTTATTTTATTTTTTTGAGCAATTTGAAAGCCTGACCATCACCATTCAACCTTGGTTGAATGGAATATTTGAGCACTAAATGTGAATATTTTTATGGTCAAGATAGTGATGATCAATTATTTTATTAAGGATAAGGATGCCCTTTGATGTATTATAAAACGAATAGACTTAAATTTTTTTGGCCAACAATATTAAATTTTTTGACCTTTAGGCTAAAAACATCATTTTACTTTTCTTAAAAATGATAAAAAGTCACACACGCCTGCAATTAAATATGTAATAACTAGTAGTTGTATGAAAAGATTGAACCACTCCTGGCTCATAAGCCTATGATATTTTCCTTAAATGGTAAAAAGCAATTTTATTGTTGTAATAAATAGTTTTTTGTGTTTAGGCATGCAGTGTTTTTCCCACGTCCTGTAGGTTTCTATCAATCATCTCAAATATCTTATCAACAACTTTATTTGCCATTGTGGTAAACATTTTTACTTTACTACAAGTAAAAATATACTTATAATATTTAGTTGTGTTCACTATTTACCTTTAAAATAGAGTCAAGCTGCTAAAAGCTGGAAATCAAAAACTTAAAGATTCCTTTCTTGCTCGATGAGTGAAGTTGAGACCTCAAAGTCTATAATGATTTTCTTTCTTTCTTTTTTCTCTTTTTTTTTTAATCTTCTTCCTTTTCTACTTTTTTTAGGGTACTTCTAAAAATAGGATATTTTACAAACTCTTAACCATATAGGGTTATTTATTTCTTAATTTTGTTAGATTTGTCACAAACCTCACCCTTGCTCTAAAAGGTCCATGCCTTGATATTGTTTAACCTAGCAATCTTGTTAAAAATGGAGCTTCCAGACCTTATAAGAATTAATTTTCATCAGGTTTCTTACACATCATTTCTCTTGAGTTTTTCAAGTTTGGTCCTTCTTCTGCTCAGAAAGTTGCATAATTGTCCGGGTATTAGCGAGAATGGACGAATATCGAACGTCGAAAGAAGCTTTATAGGAGAAAGAAGGAAAACATCAGGTTAGAAGCTAAAAGCTTGATTCGAACATATGTGATAGATTACGAGGAAGCCTCTACCCTAATATTCAAAATGAAGTCTGTCATCTCACCAAACATCCGATCATAATAGCATAAACACTAACATTATCAGCTATATTACTATACTTAAACTTGCATTACACCGTAGGTTTATAATATTTTAGTGAAAAATGATGTATATGTGTCACACATACGTCTAAAAAAACAAATCAACAAGTTGAGTTATAGCCTAATAACAATAAATTGAAAAAAACAAATAACAAGAAATGATAATAAGGGTGAAGGACAAAAATTACAAACAAAAAAAAATAGACTAAATCCAAAAATAAAATAAATTGAGTGGCAACTTTAAAATTTTAAATGTCTAGGTATGAAAACTATATAGTAGAGAAAGGAGAGGAAAAATACACACCAATCAAGAAATAAAAAGTTTTAAAGAGGATTCAAACTCTATCGCTTGAACATTGTGACCACCTTAATAAGTTGATGTGTGCAATTTTTTTAATACTAGAGAATAAATACTCCTCTAATCCCTTTTAATAATAAAACCAAGGTTAAAATGATGAAAACAACTATTGACCAAAGCTAAGGTTTCTTTGACGTTAAGAGTATTTCAGTAACTACATTGTGAATTTAAAGGTAAAAAGGTAAAAACACCCCCTTATGTCAAGCTTGATTTTTTTTTGGTATCAAAGGTATTGTAGGCAAATTTATACATTCAGTATTACAATCCACATTACAGATACGTGTAGAGCTACAATAATGGGCCCGATATGGTTTTAAAATCTGGAAGTCGGTTGACTTCTAGGAACCAGGTCGGGTTAAAAAAACTTGGTTGACCCGGTTTTTATATAAAAGTAATTGAGGTCACCTCTTAACTCGGGCTGTGCTCCATATCAATCCCCGGGCAGCGTTTAAAATATGTGATGCACGGTGGATTTCACCCTCTACTGACGATAACGCTTGTTTCTGACGGAGAACCAACTCTCTCGCAGCCGAACGGTCAATCCACCACCATCCACAAACCGACACCTGTTAAATTGCAAATCCTCCCTAAAACTCCTGCCCGCACGCAACAACAACTCAAAAACCCAATCACTAAACCCCCTCCATTGCCTCACACTTTCTCACCTCCCAATCACCATGATCACCGCCACACTTTCCCTG